TTAAAAAAAAAAAAAATAGTAGTAGCTTCAGGCCAGGCGCGGTGGCTCATGCCTGTAATCCTAGCACTTTGGGAGGCCGAGGTGGGTGGATCACTTGAGGTCAGGAGTTCAAGACCAGCCTGGCCATCATGGAGAAACCCCATCTTAAAAAAAAAAAAAAAATTTAGTAGTAGCTTCTATATACAAATATTTTAAAAACTAAAAAAAGATACTATTCTCCATAGCAAAAGAAATATACCATGTTATCAAATAGGAAGACTCAATCTCATATGTATGTCGCTTCTTTCCCAAATGAAGTTACAAATTTAATTCTAACTGAAATCCAAGCAAGATACTTTATGGAACTTGATATACTTATCCTAAAATTGATCTGGCTAGGTAAAGGACTGAGAATAACCACCATAGTTTTGAAGAAAAGGATAAAGTGAGAGGACTTTCTTTGCCAGATATCAACATTTATTATAAAGTTATAAGCATTAAAACCTGATATTGATACAAACTTAGATAAAAAAGGAATAGAATTAAAAGTTCAGAAACATCTCCACACATATGTGATCCATGATTGAAGCAGCATTAGAAATCAATGAATAATTTACTTTTGAATAAATTGTTGGAGACAACTGACTAGGCATATGAGAAAATAAATTAGATCCTTACTTCACAGAATACACAAAATAATTTCCATATGGAATAAGAACCTAATTGTGAAAAGCAAAGCATAGCATTTTTTAGAATTTATGGTTTCCTTACCCTCTGTGCACACCTTTCTAAATAAGCACTCTGTTTTGTTTTGTTTTGTTTTTGTTTTTGTTTTTCCAAAACGAAGTTTCGCTCTTTGAGGCAGGGACAAGTCTCCTGCTAGGGAATCCAAGTTGTTAGGAAAGCCAGCTGTCCACCTCTATCTCACTTTCCTACTCTAGAAACTATGAGTCAAAACTGTGAGTCAAAACCAATTTGCCTGGCTTGGTGCCAGGCATATTGGAGAGAGAGGCATCTTGGATATGGGTATCTAATTCTCTTACTGTCTTCTTAGAGTTTTTTCACCCTTGTGGCCTTAGGAGCTATTTCCTCCTCATATTTGAGTTCTGGGATATTGCTGATAATAATCTTGACCCTGTGTATTAGTTTCTGGTTTTCTGTTGGTGGGAGGAGGGAAGACAGCTTGCTTCTGTGGTGTCACTTTGGAACCGGAAATCTGAATCAATATTTAATCCAATCTTATCAAGCATGTTTAACAGAATCTTAGAGCAGAATAATTTCTTAACTACCCTAGATGAAAAACACTTTAGAACATTTTAGCTCAGATTACTTTAAAAATTTTTATATTTTGAAATAATTTTAGACTTACAGAAAAGTTGCAATAATAATAAAGTTCCTTTCTACCCTTCATCTATCTTCCCCTAATATCAATTTTTCATAATCATAATGTAATTATTGAAATTTAAAAATTTACTTTGGTATAATCTTACTGACTCAAACTACAGACTTTTTTGTTGTTGTTGTTTGTTTTTACCAGTTTTTATACTAATGTTATTTTTCTGTTCCAGGGTCTAATCCAGGATCTTATATTTAATTTAGTTGTCATATCTCCTTGGTCTCTTCTTATTTGTGAGGGTTTGAGTTTTTCCTTGTCTTGTATGACCTCAGTACTTTTCAAAAGTACTGTTCAGTTATTTTTGCAAACTGTCCTTCAATTTGGATTTGTCTGATTGACTGATCATATATATATATATATACATATATATATGTTTTAGACAGAGTCTTACTCTGTCACCCAAACTGGTGTAGTGGTGCAGTCTCTGCTCACTGCAACCTCTGCCTCCCGGGTTCAAGTGATTCTCCTGCCTCAGCCTCCTGAGTAGCTGGGATTGCAGGCACATGCCACCATGCCTGGCTAATTTTTGTATTTTTAGTAGAGACCAGGTCTCACTATGTTGGCCAAACGGTCTTGAACTCCTGACTTTAAATTATCCACCTGCCTCAGCCTCCCAAAGTGCTGGGATTATAGGCATGAGCCACTGCGCCCTGCCTGAAGTTATATATTTTTGACAAGAACACTACATGCCCTTCTATTCTCAGTCTTTCATATCTGGAAGTACATGAAGTACTGGTGATGCTGGCCAAGGTATTATCCACTGGGTCTCTTCACTGCAAAGTTACCATTACCCCTGTAATTAATAAATACATTTGAAGAAATTCTTGACTCATATGCTATTGTATAATATTCCAGGTCTTTTTTTTCCATATATTAGATACTGTTGTTTTACACAGATCATTATTTATTTGAATTTGCATGTATGTATGCCATTTTACTTGCCCCCATTTCTTCTTAAAGTTCAGACTATTCTTTGATATTGTTTTCCTCTTCCTTAAAGTATATATTTTAGCAGTTCCTTTAGAGCAAATCTCTTGCTGATATAAGCTCCAGTTTTTTAAAGCTGTAAATGTTTTTATTCTCTTTTAATTTTTGAATGATTATTTGTCTGGATATACAGTTCTAGGTTGAAAGTGGATTACTCCCAATATTTTTAATAAGTTATTCTACAATTTTCTGGCTTTCATTTTAGTTGCTAGGAAATTTGTTCTCATCTTGTCATTCCTTTCTAGGTGTTCCCTCCCTTCTTTCTGATTGCTCTCATGATTTTTTCATCGTTTTTAGTGTTCTGTAGTTTCAAGATCAAAATTTTAGAATTTATTCTGCTTTTGATGTATTGTACATCATTGATCTATAGACTCATATTTTTCATAAATAATATTCATAGGCATTATTTCTTTTAGTATGCCTTTGCTTCATTGTCTACACTTTCTCCTTTCAGAACTCTAATCAGATATCTGTTAGTACTTCTCATTATGTTTTCCATATTCCCTTTTATATTTTCCATCTCCTTATCTCTCTTTAAAACATTTTGGAAACATCTTTCAGGCATATTTTCCAGTTTACTAATTGTCCAGTTGTTTTGGCATCATTAATAAAAATACTTTTTTCCAATGCTCCAAATTCCCACCTTTTTCATAAATTAAATATCCATATGTCATAATGTAGTGTCTGTTTCTGGGCTTTCTATTTGTCTACTGATCTCTTTGTCTATTCTTCTACCAATACCATATTACCTTAATTATTATAGTTTCATAAGTCTTGATTTTTTTTTAATCTAATAAGCAAGTTCTCCCACTTGGTTTTCCCTCTTCAAGGGTGTCATGACTATTCCTGACCCTCATTTTTCCCCCAAACACTTTTTAGAATCAGCTTGTCAAGTTCCACAAAAAACAAAGTTAGGATTTTGATTGGGATTATATTGAATATATAAATCAAGTTGAAAAGAATGGACTTTGCTGGGGGTGGTGGCTCACGCCTGTAATCCTAGCACTTTGGGAGGCTGAGGTGGGTGGATCACCTGAGGTCAGGAGTTCAAGACAAGCCTGGCCATCATGGTGAAACCATCTCTAAAAAAAAATAATAATAATAATAATAATAATTAAAAAAAATAAAAATAAAAAAAAGAAAAGAATGGACTTTTCACACTTTGAGAGTTCCAATATATGAAAATGGTATATCACACTGTTTATCTAAGTCTGCTCCAATATTTCATTATATTTTGTGGTTACATTAAATAGCATTTTTCTGGCTGTGTGCAGTGGCTCATGCCTGTAATCCCAGCACTTTGGGAGGCTGAGGCAGGTGGATCAGAAGGTCAGGAGTTCGAGACCAGCCTAGCCAATATGGTGAAACCCTGTCTCTACTAACAATACAAAAATTAGCGGGGTATGGTGGCATATGCCTGTAGTCCCAGCTAGTCAGGAGGCTGAGGCAGGAGAATTGCTTGAATCTAGGAGGCAGAGGTTTCAGTGAACCGAGATCGCACCACTACACTCCAGCCTAGGTGACAGAGTGAGACTGTGTCTCAAAAAATTAAAGTATTTTTTCTGTAGATATCTTGCATGTGTTTTGTTAGATTTATTTGGTAATTAATATTTTGTGTGATTATAAATGATATTTCTTTAAACTTTCATTTTCTAACTTCTTTTTGCTAGCATAAGAAAGAAACTTGACTTTGTATGTTGACTTTGTATTTAGTAATATTACTTAATGTTCTTTATTCTAATAATTTATTTGTAGATGAGCTTGAATTTTCCACATATATAATTATATTATCTGTGACTAATGACAGTTTGATTTCTCCCTTTTTAATCCGTATACCTTTTCTTCTTGCCTTATGCCACTGGTGAATTACTATTTCAGTATAATGTTAAATAGAAGTAATGATGAGCATAAACTTT